ACTAACATCTGTGCCAGTCTTCCTCTATTTTGTATGTGGGACACTGCCACAGCATGGCTTGATGAGTGGTGTGTAGGTCTACATCTGGGATCTGAACACTCGAACCCCAGGCAGCCTAAGTGAAGCCTGCAAACCTAACCACTACACCACCGGCCGCCCCCCCAACCCTCCAAGTAATAACTTTGTAATGTATCTTTCTGGTACGTAGAGTTAATTTCCTGTGGCTGTTGATATGTCTGGGCTAATTCCTGCCCTGTTTGTGAACTGAAGTAAGCTAGAGAGAGCAGAGGTGAGTAATAGATGAAAATGGCCAGGACCTGGGGTGATTGCCAGGGGAGCAGAGGAAGGAGATTTCATTTACCCTGAGTAACGGGGTGGATGGTGGTACCGTTTACTGAGATAAGAGAGGAGGAGTTACACATCTGGTGGAGCAGGTGACAGGTACAGTTTGGACGTTGAGTTGTGAGCATCTGCTTTTTCTGTTCTGAGGGCTGTGAACCCTTCAAGATGGAATTCACTCTTTTCATTTAAAGAGACCCCATCAACCCATAACTCTTTTTGACATTCTTAAGATGTGCCTCTGAAGTATAGATACATGGTAATGAGAATGTCATTTCGGTCTTATTTAGTACAAGCTTTGGAAATGGGCTCCCAGTCTCTTAATCTGTTTATTGCTGCAGAGAATACTACAGGAGATATTTTGGAAGTAAAAAAGCCCCCCAAAACCAGGAAACAAATAACTCTCATTTTCTAGGCTATTACTTTGTTTCTTTTTTTTAATCTAGGTTTTTGATAGCAAATATATGTTAAAAAAAATAATTTCAAGTGATTATTTACAGTCAAATACTGTTATTTATGTAGGGTCATCAATGAAAATTAGATTTAATGAAAATTAGATTAAATATGGAATTACATCTTTTAGCTTCCTGATGCTAATTGAACGTTGGGTTTATGCATGTCCTGACTACCGTTTGCGTGAGGTTCAGGTTTAGAGAGAGTTCTTTCAGTCATCCTGTTGCTCTAAACCTGCCTCAGTCTGTGGAACACGGTTCTGAGCACCGTTTACTCTCAGGGACAGATCAGTGCTAAACAGAATGGGGGAACTACGCTGATTTCTATTCACTGCTGATTTGTGGAGCGTGATGTTTTTAAAGGCTATTTTAAAAAAAAAAAAAAAAAAAGGAATTTCTTTTTTTTTCTCCTCAAAGCCTGGGTACATGGTTGTATATTCTAGTTGTAAGTCCTTCTAGTTGTTCTATGTGAGGCACCGCCACAGCATGGCTACTGACAGACGGGTGGTGGTGTTCCGAGCCAGGAAACAGAACCCAGGCTGCCGAAGGGGAGCGCACCCAACTGTAACCACTAGGCCATCAGGGCTGGCTCAAAAAAAGGAATTTTTTATTTTATTTTATTTTTTTGTGAGGAAGATCAGCCCTGAGCTAACATCCATACCAGTCTTCCTCTTTTTGATGAGGAAGACTGGCCCTGAGCTAACATCCGTGCCCATCTTCCTCTACTTTATATGGGACACCACCACAGTATGGCCTGACAAGCGGTGCATCGGTGCGTGCCCGGAATCCGAACCCCGGCCCGCCAGCAGCAGAGTGCGAGCACTTAACTGCTACGCCATGGGGCCAGCCCCATAAAAAAGGAATTTTTAATTAAAAATTTCCACTTTAATTAAAAACTTTTACTTTTTAAATTTTTGTTTTCAGTTTCATCTATATAATACCCTAGACTTTTAAAATTCCTAAGTTATAAGTAGTCTCTCTTTTTTTCCACATTTTATGTTCATTATTTGAATTTTCTTTTCATTTTTACTTCTATCTGGTTACTGAACTTCAAATGTTATTTCAGGCTCTTTTCTAATTGATAAAAGTTGCTTTTGTTGTTCATTGGTCTTTTAAAGTGACTCCTGATTGGAAAGGGGGGGAGGTTATTTACTCAAAAATCCCTTGAGGCTAGGAGCCAGCCTTCTCTTCTGCTACCTTCCGCAGCACTTAGAGGTGATTCTACACAGAAGGGAAGGCCAGAAATAGTCCTGTCTTCTATGCTGCCTGTCCATTCTTTGCCTTATGGTCCAGGTTTTCAGCAGTGAGTACAACAGTTGCTCCACATTTAAACCCTCAAGTACTGCTTATCTTGAGTTTGTCATTCTGTGTCATTAACTCAGGGTACACTTTAAAAAGTTTTCTATATCTGTAGTTTCTATCCCAGCTATTTAAGTTAAAATTATAAAATTTCTGCATTGAAAGTCAAATTGAATTTTGAATCCTCATTAGGTATTTGATAGCTTCAACTTTTCTGTCCACATATAATATAATGTCTTTATTTTTATTCTTCCTGTGTTTATAAAATTGCATCTTTAACCTTTTCTTAAAAGCCTCTTGTGGGTTAAACATTCCTTAGAAGACAGCACTGGGGTGGTCAATTATGTGAAAGTCCATCATGACCAATATAATTATAATATTATACACAGGCACACATTATTTTATCTATTAGAAATGGAAAATAACTCAAAGGCAAAAATCCATAATTGAGTAGGTATGGGAACATTTTCAGTGGAATCCCTTCTTATTTCTAAAAAGTTATGTTTGTATAGGTTTCTAGAAGCTATTTACATAATTGGGTCTCAGCAGGTTAGAACATAGATGTTCTTGATATTCTTTTGACTTGATGGTGCACTGATTTTTTCCTGATAATAAGTATTCATAAGCTGAGTGTTACCTCATAAACCTGGTGATCCTAGTTTGAATCGCCCTCCCATTACTCTGTTGCCCCATCCTGCTTTATTTTTCTTCTTAGCACTTTTAGTCTTCGTGTTATTATTATTGCTGTTATTGTAGGTTAACAAAATGTAAGCATGTGGGAAGTGACTTTTTTTAAACTGTTGTGTCCCTTCCATAGTGCCTAGTACAGAGTAGGTAGGTCCTAACTAAATGTTGTGGAATGAATAGTTACCTTTGTCCTTTTAGGCTGTAAAATCAAAACATGGTGCTTACTTATTTTTTCAATACAAAAAGGTAAAAAGTAAAGTAAATGTTCCAGGCAGTATCACCTTTCCAGTCACCGTGTAACTTATGTATACATAAGCCAGTTTTTCCCCACAATAAAGGATTGGGCTGTGCACACCATTTTGCAACTTACTTTCTTCACCTAACATTGTATGATAGTATGTTATTATGCAAATAAAACGTTTGTAATGTAACTACTCCCATCTTGATGGACAGTGTGGTTTCAGCCTTACAGGTCCAGAATCACTTATTAGCAATTTCAAAATCTAAACTTCTAAAAACAAAAGGCCCTTCCTTCCTTCCTTCCTTCCCTCCCTCCCTCCCTACTTCCCTTGATAACCTTTGGTGTCAAAACCCTCTTGAACTGACCAGATGTTCTTTGTAGTCTTTATTCATTCAACTTAGTGTGAATGTATCCATATGTATTGTTCAGATATATTAATGTTTGAATATCTGGTGTTTCCAAGACCCAGGGCAGTGGTCCAGGTGAGCTGTGTGACCTGTTATCTGGTCCGTGTACTTACAGTCTTGCTGAAATGCAAGTTCTGAATTTTAAAATGCATCTGTCCCAAAGAATTCTGATGAGTAGATTTGGAAAACAATCTTTTCATGCCTGTGCGAGTATCTTTAATATAACTTCCTAGAAGTGATTCAAAGTAGGTAACATACAGCTTTTGAAATTAGGGAGAAAGAACTAATATAAATTTTTTAAAAAGAAGACATGGAATTAGAATTTTTGGAGCACGTGGGATTGTTATTCAATAATATTTTAATGAATTTTTGCAAACTGGTTTAAATTAATGTTTCCAATAATTTCAGTTTTTAAAAGTAATTTTTATATATAGTGTACATACTTTTTTGAAAACCATAATTTATTTAACTAATAATTTGGTAATTTTAGGTTATTTCCAAAGTTTGTTGTCACAGAGAGGAGAGGACAGAAACTATTAGCTGATAATGAGTACAGTAAAGCAAAAATCCACCAAATACCTGGAAAAAGGTGTTTTAAAATGCTTAAATACACAAGCTGACATAAATATCCATGGTGCACAAAAAGTATGGCAACTTCTTAAGTTTGTAAGTTTTCAAGTACAGTCACGCACCACATAATGATCTTTCGGTCAACGACAGACCGCATATATGACGGTGGTCTCATAAGCTTAGTACCATATAGCCTAGGTGTGTAGTAGGCTATATTTGCAAAAGAGGGCTTGGGGATTTCCATTTTTGACTGAATCATCTTCTCCCTGAAATCTGGTTAAGTCTGATTCTCTGTTATTTGGCAGCTGATTTTGTTCTGGGGAAACAACAGCAAATAAGTGACTGGTGTTTTGTGAAATATTGAGTGACATCAATTATATGGAAATGATTAATTTACAGAGCAGTCTTTACCCCTCTCTTGCTCATAAACCCTGCAGAAGATATCACACTGTACCATAGTGAAGTCTCTTTTTGAAAGTTGACACTAAGTAAAGACTAACTTAATTGTGTGTTCTTCATGGTAGGGCTGTAACATCCAAATTGTTATTAGTTTTCCTGGCTTTCTCAAGCAGCAGCAATAATGCAGACTTTTCCAAAACACAGCACTCTAAACATATATTTTTTATTGCAGTTAATTGAGGCTGAGTGAAAACATGAAATAGGGATTTCGGTTAGTAAATGCTTCTATAAAAGCAACAGCAACAACCATCCATGGTTTCTGACACTTTCAGCTATAAAATAACACATTTGTGATGAAAATATTTTTAAATGCGGGCTATACGCAAGTGTAGGAAGGAAAAACATCTCATTCTCCTACCACTTGGACAACCATTCTTAATATTTTCATGTACTAGTGCTCTGACGTTTCTGTACATGCATTGTTTACATACTTGAAATTGTGTAAAACACAATACCTTTTGTGTGTGTGTGTGTGTGAGGAAGATCAGCCCTGAGCTAACATCCATGCCAATCCTCCTCCTTTTGCTGAGGAAGACCCGCCCTGAGCTAACATCTATTGCCAATCCTCCTTTTTTCCCCCTTTTTCTCCCCAAAGCCCCAGTAGATAGTTGTATGTCATAGTTGCACATCCTTCTAGTTGCTGTATGTGGGACGCTGCCTCAGCATGGCCAGACATGTGGTGCGTTAGTGCGCACCCGGGATCCAAACCCCGGGCCGCCAGCAGCGGAGTGCGAGCACTTAACCACTAAGCCACAGGGCCGGCCCCAGGGTAGGCAATCTTTTAATAGGGGCAGATAAAAGTTACTCATCTGAGTGAATCAGATCACGTTTTCCACGCAGCTAGTGAACAGCTGCAGACATAGCCTGCTTCCCATCAGTCTCCACGTATAACCATGCGTGACCTCTGCAATGCTGATGGTTCTCTGGTAAATTTTCAAAACCATAACCCTAAAAACATATGACAAACATTTTATTAAAGAAACAGGCCTGCACTACTCACCCTGCCTTCACTTGCAAATACCGTTTTCCCCTCGCCGCCATATGTCTGTTGGCAATCATTCTGAATATCCAGGTACTTAGCCACTAATATTTCCTAACGTGATATTTAAATACTATGCTGTATAAACCAAATTTCTTTATTTCCTTCAAATGAAATTTTTTTCGTATACAAACTTGCTGGTGAAAATGATAGAAATGGACACTTTGTGGCAGTTTCTTTTCCTTAATTTATTAAGAGAGATGAAAATTCAATAGATAAATATTTCATAGGTATATTTCAGATACCAATATGTAACAGTCACTTGCATTCCTTAAGCTTGTTAAAATGGCATTCTGTTAGACTCAGGATTTTAATCTGTACTTCATTCTTTTGCGGCCTCTTCCCCATGTGTGCTATTCCTTGTGTTGGATTGGGCTGGGGAGTCTGGGTCCCTCTTCATAGACCCAAATTTAGGAAACATAAATCACCATTAGTAGGTTATTTGCAGAAACCAAAGCCTAGATTGGAAGCATTGGTCAAATAAGTGCTTTTGAGAGAAAAATAATTTATTTAAATACAACATAGCAGTTTATATTCTGGGAGAATCTGGAGCCAAATACCCTGACCTTAATGGCTTTGGACAAAGTATTGCTTTTTATAGTCTCCTGCCCTTGGAAAGCAATGGCTTATTCAGCCAGTCATGCAAAAGGAGTTCTAGAAAATACACAGCCCTGTGTTTTTAATGGAATCTGAAAATAGCATATACCATGTATGAGTGGAATACATTCTTTATTACTTCATTTGTAGAACATTTTTGTGGTTGGGATAAGAGAATGAGAAATGTAGGCTTCTACAGAGCTTTCCAGGTCTTCCATGGTCTCTTTACTTTCCTGTTTTTACCTTTCTTTATAATGAAAACCATGCTCTGCCTTGAGGAACCCAGGTGGGCTGAGGCACAGGATTTAAGGCACAAAGAGTTGTCTAGGCTTTGTGCCCCCCCACTTGTTTGCCCTCTACCAAGTCCCCTCACACCTAAGGTGCAACAAGCTGATGGGACTAACCTGCTGAAGGTGCAAATTCTAGAACCTTCCTTCTCCCTAATTTTTCAATATTTAATTCTTGCTACCAGGAAGTGCTCCCCTAAATCTCTCAGGCTGTCTTAGGCTATTTCTTGAACTTGTTTTGTTAGCACTAAGCAGAGATATAATAACCAGGAACCATTGTATTTTAAATACATATCAAAATGTCTAATTCTAGACTTTAGACCTCTACACGGAAATTGTATTAAGAGTGTACCTAGGTGTCATTTCTACAGCAGCACTGGGCATTGAGTAAGCTTCCTGTTCTTAGGCATCTGCCCTCTGCTGTAACCACATGTCCCAACCGCAGGTGCCTGGTTAAATGTTTCTCCCAGTCTTGCCTTTGCCTTCACACTACAGGATTATTTCACTCCTTTCTATAGATTCTTGCTTAAAGACAATTTCACATAAATCTCAAAAGAAAGTGGTAATATTCTCTTCTTATGCACTAGTAAACAGTGAGCAGAGTTGCAAGGTGTCATTTAAGTAGCCTGTTTACATTATCCTACGCAAACTTTTTTGAAATCGTATAAAATATACACACAATTTTGTTACCACGCGGTAGAGAGAGAAATCAATAGGTGTCATTTCTAAATAATCTGAAGGGCATGGAAGAAAGGAGTTTTATTAATAAAAGTAGAGAATTATGAAATTATTTTTCAGGAACTATTTTTTTCCTTCTCATTTCTTCTCATGGTTTTCCTGTAATAAGATACTGTGCTTCCAAATCTAGAAACATTTTTGTTGTTGTTGGCAAGGAAATATACTGTTGACTTTGATTGTAATCTGTTTACTTAGAATGAGATCTCCTGTATCATTTAGAAAATGCTGTGTGGTTTGGGGAGTAAAAGTCAGGCAGTTAGACCCAGCTTCTGCTTTTCTCTCTCGTAGACCAGCCTCTGTTCTTAGGAGAGACTATAAGTTCCAATATCAGACTTAAATGTCTTGTAAAAATATTACATGGAGTGTTTTTTTTTTTTTTACGGTTTTCAGAAACCTCTGACTTCAGTAGGTAATCTGTGCAGACTCTTATTACAGAGTAATAAGTACTAAAACCTACGGGAATCAGTTTCTAGGTTTATAAATCTTTGGGGTATATAAGGGAAGCTGGGAATGTAGAAGCAGATAATTGTCACTGTTGTGCAGGTAGGCTGTTAGATTTAACCTTTCTGATCAAGCCCCCAGGGTGTTCATAGAAAACACGTGCTGGCTGCTTTTGTTCGCCCACTAAACCTGGAACAGGTAGTGTTAGCACAGAATGATTCTCATGACCAGACAGCTATTCTGGGCAGTTTCTCGTGAATTAACAGAATTAGAGTCAGATGATCAAAAGTACAAATGTGTTTCAATTATAGGGGACTTCTTTTGCTCTCCTGCCAAAGCAGATAAGCATTTTAACGCTAAGACAAGCCTTCAACCCACCGTATTCTTTGAGGCCATGGGTATCTCATCCTTCACTGGCGGAAAGTTCAGAAAGGTGGGGAGGGTGGGAAATAGAAAATTCCAGCCTAGTTCTTTCTACTAAACACTGAAAACACCTGGATAGAGGAGGAAGAAACCTCCTGGGGAGTCCCCCCACTCCCACCCTCCAGAACTTCTCTGAGCTCTCGCAGATGTATCAGGACTGGAGTGGGAAAGGGGCTTGGGGCAAGCATGACCCAGCATTTGGGAAAATGCGTGATGTGTATCTATCTAGTCCATCTAATCTACCCACTCGCTCATTGATTCCTCGTTTGTTCGCTTGTCCGCCTCACCACGTATTCCACGTTGTACCTGGATTATTGGGTTGTCTTTCCCTGTGACGCCACCTCTGCCTGTCTTTGAGATTCCTCTCCTCCTACGGGATAGCTTCTGTCCTTCAACCCAGGGCTGCAGTTTGTCTTTCCAAACTCTACTGGGATCAGATCTGACCATCGGAATTCTCCAGCCACCAACAAAAGGATTAATAGCTAGGAAATAGAGGCCAAGTTTTAAGAGGCCAAGTTTTAAAACATCCTATGGAACATTTTGCAAGTCAAATGTTAGTGAAGGTACTTTATTGTATCAAACTTAGTTAAGTCAGAAAGAGTTGATACAGGCTGAGTAGTCTTCCACCCTCTCAATATGCTGTACTCTGGACCGCAGATTATCCCTTCTTGTGAAATACTCCTAGTCCCACAATTTATTGTCTTCAAATTTGCACAGCTAATATTTGCCCTGTGTAAATAAGTATTCATTTCAACAAGTATTAAATGGTCTACTTTGCCAGTTAAAGTGATCAATTTTTTTTTAGTGAGAAAGAAAACAGATCTTTTCTTACTTTTAATCCAACTCATAGTAAATTTTGATAAATTCTTTTAGAAAATCCATTTGTTTTTTGTCATATTTAGTTACAAGTTTGTTTTTGGGGCACAGCTTAACACAAATTTTGTTAAACAGTTTGCTTTTTATTGGCTGGTTCTTGATCTTATCTGTAAAAAAAACTTAGAAATGTGTGTTACTTCAGAATCACTGCTAAAGAAGCGCCCAGCTGGTAAGTACAACACTGTACAGGGATAAGTGAGCCTGGAAAATCATAACAGAGCATAGGATATTCCCTGGTTTTCTAATTATTTAGAAACTATGTATCTCAATGGGCTATAGCTTTTTTTTTGTAAAACAGCTTAATTGAGTTATAACTTATATCCTATAAAATTCATTTGTTTTAAGGGTACAGTTAAATAATTTTTAGTAAATTTGCAGAATTGTGCAAACATCATCACTACCTAATTTAGAACATTTCCATCACCCCAAAAAGAAACTTCCAGCCTATTTGCAGTCACTCTCCATTCCCACCAGCAGCCCCAGGCAACCACTGTTGATAAGCTGTATCTTTCTCTCAGAACAACTGGATGCAGAACTGAAGTTGTCCAATCTACCTTAACACGGGATAGTAAATAAGTACCAGAAATCAAAACGTTTATTCTCTACCCAAGCATATCCCCCAAAGTTCAGAAGTAGTCATTGGTAGCTGCTTTTTCAATTCTTTTACATTAAAAAAAATTTTTTTCCCCAATCCATTTTCAGAATAGTGTCACCAAGTTACCTTATAAGCCTGCTCATCTCCCTAATTTAGATCTATCATACCTATACAGATGTGGGACCTTTAATCATCTGACAACGACTTATTTCCATGTTTTATTGGGAAAATATTTTACAAATATCCATGGTAATTTTTTAGTAATCAGTGGATCTCCTTTTCAGTTTTCAAGAACTTGTTGGTAAAAATATTTAGCAAATTTTGTGGATGCTTCTGAAATAGAAGCCCATGACTCACAAGGCGCCCTTGTATCCATAAGCATGTTAATACCTACCCATTTTAGGTGGGAAAATTTTTACAAGCAAGTTAAGCTCTAAGACTGTTAAAAAGGAAAAGCTGAGATGTCTTGGTCTCGAAGAAACTTTGTAGGCACGAAATTTCTTAGCTAAACTGGATCCTGTTAACATAGAGATATACCTATATTATAAATTTGATATGGTGGTTTATTAGTAACAGTAACTATAATTAAATGGCAGATATGGGTAACAGGGAATATTTAACAGGCTGCTTCCCCCTTCCCCATAAGAGATGTGAATTCTATATTAAATTTTTTCTAAGTTTATATTACTTTTTGCAAAATTACAAAGATTTAAAAATGCCTGTAATGTTATCTGGAGGACTTTCCTATGTATTTATATATCTCTCTTTTTAAAAAAGCTCATAATTGATTGTCTCTTAATCTTTTTCACTGACTATATTGTTGACCTCTGACGTATAATGGCACTAGAGGTGGTGGTGTGGCATTAAGAACATGGGCTCCTGAGGTCCGATTCCTGGTTCAAATCTGGGCTCTGCCACTTCGTACCTGTCTGACCTTGGGCATCTCACTTTATTGCAGTTTCTTTTCTTTAAAATATTTCCTAGGGTTGTTATGAGGATTAATTAGAAAATACACAGTACCTGGCACATAAGTAACATTTGCTGAGAACTATAACATTGTGGCTGTTTTATTCAACAACTTGACTTTTTAATGGCTTTGTGGTGACAACTGGGTTTTCTTTGTTAAGGTCTGAGATAGATTTTCTGTCTGTTAAGAAACTCATCAGCTCTTTGTTTCCATAGATATTCAATTCAGTTCTGTTTCAAGACTTAGTTTTTCTTAAGCCTTTGAACACCATATAAATCTCTTTTATTCATAATTCCAATTTGTAAATATTTTAAATACATTTTCTTTCATTCAATGTTTAACTTCTGTCTTCAACAGATTACGTCTTTTTAAATAGTACAACCCATATATAAACTTAGATAAGTTTCCTTTATTTTTAAACTGTATTTACACAGTCAATACATCTTATCTTCTTATCTACTTCAAATGCACAACCAGGCCAACATAGAAATTTAGCAGAGCATTTCGAAGCCCTTGGCCTGGAGCTCCTGTCTTTGCTCAGTCTCCTCTGCAGGATGTGATCAGTGAACCTTGAGTCAGAACTGCCGTGGGAGCCTCATGGGGTGGGTCGTAAGTCACACTTGGACATTTCCTATAGCCTTGAATATCTGCCGAGTGGCCCCTGTCCCATTTTTCGTAAACCATCACCTCTGATGTGAATGATTGAGATTCTGCATCTCCTATTAAGATCTAGGTGTGAACTTAATTGGATCCTGCATCCTTCTTATGTAGTATTTATATCCTTGTCTCACAGTTTTGCAGTCACTATATCAAAACCGTATTTTGTAATATTAAGACAACCATAATTTATCTAATTATAATAATTATAATTTAACTAATCCCCTGTTGTTGGATATTAGGCTGTTTCCAATTTTCTCTTATAAATAACTATGTTGAAAGTATACTTGTAGAAATATTTTGTGTACATCCTTATTTCCTTTGGATAAACTCACAGAGTGGAATAACTGGCTGGCATTACCCCAGTGTCAGTTATGTAGTGTGGGTTAACGTCTATCGGGGCAAACCTACTGCTGCTCCCATTTGACTCCCAGGGGAACCTTAGAATCATTTCATAAAATTAGGGGAAAAATTCTGTTGGGATTATTAAGAGAAAGTGACAAATGTTATATTAATATGGTAATATCAAATCCTTTATGGTATAATAGAGGTGGTGGAAATAACACAGAAGCAGAATGATGTGTTTTCTTGTCAAGCTCCCTTGACAAGGGATGAAGAGAGGAGCAGCCGTGGAGGACTTTTCCTCTAGATGTTAAAACACACACTACACAGCTACGATGTGCTATTGGCATTGAAAGAGCATAGCTGTATATACCTCTGTTCCTGCCATTGAGTACTCCCTCTCCCAGCAGTCCAGGTGGATGCTGAATTTTATCAAATGCCTTTTTGACTTCACTCAAGATGATCATATCATTTCTTTTTATATGTTTGTATTTTATTACAATAATTTTCTAATTTGAAACCTTGCATTTCTGGAATAAATCATATTTAGTTCTAAAAAAAAATACTAACAAAACATCAGTATACTAAAAGTTTCAGAGTTTTGTGCTTGCCTTCAAAAGGAAGATTAGTCTGTAGAGATCTTTAACTTTTTAAATATCATCTAGGTTAACTTCCAGTATTTTGCAATGTGAGAGGACTTGGAAAGCTCTTCCTCTGCTTTGTGCTCTGGCACAGAACCCTAAACAGACAAACTAATGGGATTGCCGTCCATCAAGAGGAACTGTTGTGGCTTTTGTCACTTTCCCAGACACTTACTGGTAGGAAAGGATCAGCATAGGAATGGGTATGTTGTAATCATCACCTTGATGACAAACATTGCATCTCAAGATTGTTGACACATGATGAATGTGCTTTGTATATTTAATCTTCTTAATGAAATCCCAAGGAAAATATCAACTCAGCCACTAGTGACGATACACAGGCTTTGCACTCACAGAGTGCTCTTACCCCTGGGAGTACAACACTCTTCATGATTAATTATTTCAGTCATTCTCACAGTTGTCCCATGAGGTGGGTGACTGAGTGCTTCCTCTTAGAAAAGAAAAAGGTAACTAATTGTATTTTCTTCTGTTCTACATTCTGTGTTCTAGAACTGAGTAGCTACCTTATAAAGACCATCTGTGTGTCCACTGGTGGACCTGGGTTTCAAAGTCACCAGCTTCTTTCACATACGAACACCAGGCTCGGAGCTGATGTGGAGGAATAGAGTTGGAGGGAGTTGGGCTGAGAGTTTGGCGGGATGCCATGAGTGGGCTAGCCTGGAGCTGGAGAAGAGAGAAGGCAATGGCCAAGTTAGTGCTTTGGTGCCTCCATTAGAAGTGGTAATCCAGGGTGTGGAAGGTTTGTTTTTGAAAATATCTTCCCGGAGCACCTCTTCATTATGCTTACTCTTCCCACAACGTTGTTGTTGGGGTCCTGGAGAAACCCATTGGTCCTGTTTTACAGAGAGGGCGCTGCTCCGTCCTCATCCTGCTCTGATGTTTTAGTAGCTGGGGGCTTTTCAGAGGGACAAGAGAAGGCTGAGGTGTCCAAAATCTTCAGGAATGCCTCTTAGCCGGTCTCCATCCTCCAGCCAGCCTCCGTTTCTCTGCCAGGCTCGCTGTCCTCTTGCTTCCGCTTCCCGAGAAGTGGACGCATCTCGTCAGGGAGCAGGGATGCGTCTAAAGCTACGTTCCTTTCTGGTGCTCGCCTCCTTCTTCCTTTTACAATATGCCATTTGGTCATTCTAGTTCTCTCTTCAGTTAGACGGCAAGCTCTTTGGGTGAACTTTCAGGTCGGTGTATTTTTGGTTTTAACTCCTTTTAGTTAATTGCCCCCGTGTATCCCTCAGCGCTGGGGCATTGAGTGCACAATAAACACTTGTGGTTGATGTATTTGCCATCCACCACTGTCAACAAATATCGCCTGTTCATATTGACTGTGCCATGTTAACTTTTTTCTTTCATCAAAAAAGGCTTAGCTGTCACCACTTTGAGTTTTTCCTCCTCCTTATTTTTTCTTGAAGTTACTGAAAGGAAGGCTTTGAAATGCAAAGGATTATGCTTAAATTGTGCAGTGTACTCTGGGTGGGGACTAATTACGAGGTTTGAAAACCTCTTCAGGTGGCTGGGCTCTGTAGTGGGACTAAAATACCCGCTTTCCTAAATTGAGAACAGCTGGGGCCGTGTTGCTAGCAAGTATAAAAGAGTTGGTGCTGGCCCTCTGTTGTGAAGAGGTCTTTGCTCTTTGGAGCCTGTGGAGCTGAGGCTGAAGGCACCCTTTGCTTGTCAGTGTCGTGGTGGGTAAGTGCCCCGAGCTGGGCCGCTGGGTGCCAGTTTGTATTGTTTGGTAGCAGTTGCGGTGGCTGCATCATAAATGTTGTTAGCTACTAATCACCCTTGTCAGTTGTAGTAAATTATTTTATCCTGCAAGTAAGGGATAGAATGTGTTACCTAAATGAGACATAGCAAAGGCTTTGTATATCTTTTTACTGTGTTATTTTGCAGGCTGTCAGCTTTCCTTCTGTATGATGTGCCTCTCTGAATATAAAAGGATAAACTGATGCAGTGCCATTGGAAATATCTTGAATGTGTAGTTCTTAAATCAGTTCTTGAAAGTGGTCGCTTAAAGAGACTCCAGTTTTTTAATAAGAAAACAGAAAGTTGACTATTTTGACAAATGCAGAGAATAACAATTATTCAATGTGTGTAAGCAGCTCATCACAGCTTTTTCTTCTTTCTTTAAGGTTCCTAGAAAAGATGCAGGCTTGGGAAGGGATGATGTGCTCTCTGGGGGAGGTTCTGGCTTATTATGACTTCATGGTTAGCAACAAGGAATAGTGTCTGATGCAGTGTTTGCAATGTTGGGTCCTAACTTCTAGTTAAAGAAACTTAAAAGGAATTGATTATTAAAATGTTCCTATTTATACTAACTCCAGCTCAAAAAGAGAGGAATGCCAGGATAAAACAATTCAATATTTTATAAATAAACTCCATCTCAGCAGCTTTAACTATGTTCTGACGATGTATTTATAAAGCAAATGGCTTTGGTATTTGTTTCCTTATTTTGATAATGTTTTGTTTTGGGTGGTTGGCGGTTGGACAAGCACAATTTCTGAACAGACTTTCGTTTTGTTTTTACAGGTGGGATAGTAACATCTTTTGGGGAAAGAGAATTGGCTTGCTTTCCTGAAAGTGGCGAATGTACAGCAGAGCTGCATAGGAGGAACAGTAATCAGATGGCCACCTTCTCCATGTGTGCTCGGAAACAGAATCGGCTGTAAGAGTCCATGTTGATCTTGGAAATTGAAGGATTAAGAAAAGTTAAGTTTCCACAAAGAACAAGAACTTTTCCATCTCCCTTTTGATCTGAAGACCGAGGACAATGGATATCATAGAGACAGCAAAACTTGAAGAACACATGGAAAATCAAACCAACGATCCTGCAAACACTTACACGAGACCTGCCGAACCTGTTGAAGAAGAAAACAAAAATGGCAACAGTAAACCTAAGAGCTTATCCAATGGATTGCGAAAGGGCACCAAAAAGTACCCAGACTACATCCAAATTGCTATGCCCAATGACTCGAGGAACAAATTTCCCCTCGAGTGGTGGAAAACGGGCATTGCCTTCGTGTACGCACTTTTCAACCTCGTCCTGACAACCGTCATGATCACAGTTGTACACGAGAGGGTCCCTCCCAAGGAGCTCAGCCCTCCACTCCCAGACAAGTTTTTTGATTACATTGATCGGGTGAAATGGGCATTTTCTGTATCAGAAATAAATGGAATTATATTAGTTGGATTATGGATCACCCAGTGGCTGTTTCTGAGATACAAGTAAGTAGGTCTCATGTGTTGCTTGGGTTTGCCATTAGTTTGTATTTAAGTGAGAAGATATGTCGTTGAAATGATCTTTCTTGGTTTTATCTGGTAAATTCAGCCTTACCCAGGCATCTCATGAAAGGAAGCAATAGAAAGATCTACCACGTTCAGCAAATCCAGACACTATTTGAGAAGTGTTTACTGGGCAGCTATGTAGGAAAGTATGGAAGTGCTGTGGCACGTGATTCAGAGTTTATGAATTGAAGGTGCAGTTCCTGATTTCAAGCAGCTTGGCGCTGTGGTATTTGTATGATAAATCAGGAGGCAGGGAAAGGAGTAACCTTCACTTCTCATGCTTGTGTTATTGTAGGCTCTTGACAGCTGGGGAAGGAGTCGGCTGGGAAGCTTGTTCCTCCATTGCTCATAACATGCTGACTACGTGGGTCCATTGTCAGTAGCATGGGTTCAGTTCACTCCTGTTCAGGAGTTCTCCAATTTTACATTTCTTTTCCTTTTGCCTATTGGCAATCCAGTCGCCAGAGTTTGTTTAAGAAACTGAATTTAGACATGGATCCATGTGTCTTGGGTGTCAGATTTCTAAAGTAAATGTGCTGTCTGGTTTCCCTGTGGCACCACAAAGGAGCTCTCAGTCCACTGGCTTCCGTCTCCCCGTTGGAACAGCAGGAATCAGAAAGTAGGAAGGCAGGCACTTTGGCTTTGAAGACACGTAAAAATAGGACATAGCTCTGAAGTGGTTATTTTTGCTTCCCTGTGAATTCTGAGTGCTGGTCCATAAAGATAAGGCCCCACAGTTCCTCTTTTTATCTCACTCATCATTCAAATGTTCTTTCTCTACTTAGATTCTAGTAATTAAATCACTAAAATATGTTTGATCAAAACATTGCCCGTAAAATGAGGCTTTTGAAAATGTAACGTATGCTTAGTCAATACAATTCAAAAATTCAGAGTCAAATGGGATTTCAGTATTAACGCCACAAGATCGTTTCTAGAAGAGAGAATTTATGCTGTTGTTCTTTCAGTTGCTTGTCGCTTTGAGATTAGATGGATTCAATTTATGTTTGCTAAAGAGTTCCCCAAACGCAAGTTTGCAGTTTTGAAAACTTATTCCACAAACTCAAGTCATCCTTCAGCATTTTCCTTAATAGGTGTAAGTAAAAGACACAGCTGTCAATTGTCTTTTACTTAGTAGAGGAACTTTCTGCTGCTAAAGTTGTTAGTTACGGCATGCTTTCGGCTAAAAGCAGAAAATATATTTGCTGAACTTGAGCATTTTTCTTTTTAGTGTCTGGAATTGACACTGAGTATAAGAGAGCCTGCTTGGGCCAAAGACTTTGCTTTCTCCTTTAATTTAGAGCAACGTTTTATTCACATGTGTGTGAAAAAAGAAATTTCCCAGGGTCTGGTGAGTGGCTGCTTCCCGCCGACAGTCTCAGGTTATTTGAATCTTCATCTGGAGAGTTGCAGTTAACTGCCTGTCCACTGCCGCCTGAGATTTCACCGTGTCAGAACTTGTGGTCACGCAGCTGGCCACACAACCTGTCATCAAAAAATTGTTGGGGAGATCACACTAATTTTCCTTTTTACTTTTGAGGTAGGACTAGATCTATATTTTAGTAACTAGTGGAGTAATTTTTATAACCTGTTTTGAACATCTCAGCTGACAGAGAAATCCTACTTGCTCTCTTAAAAGCACCTTCAAAGCTATGGAAAAAAAAAAATTCATCAGCAGTGGTTATTTTTCTAAATAAGGCTGCAGAGTGCATGTTTCGCCTTCGAAGTTAATTTTCTGCTCTGAGTACAGCCAAGCTCGGAGTGCTGGAATGAATGGAGTTGGCTCATAATAATTCCTACTTGCGCTTTCACCTTGGGTAACAGCATGGAGCACAAGTCAACGCTCCTTTGGGGCCTGGGGTCGAATCAAGGGTGAGTTGTTTTCCACTGAACCAAATGGAGAGACTCAGCACTGTTGATCACCTGTTCCTTTTCAGTTCTAGAAAAGGCAGAGCTAGAACAGCAAGCCTTTGAAAGGAATGCCTTACAATAAATAAATGCTTTCATCTGCTAGTCTAGGTGGTGTCCCTCTGTATATTTTGACCCCAGAAACCCTGGAATCTTCTTAAAATAGCTACTGGAGGCAGGCAGCTAAAATTACACTTGTACATAATTCTTTAAGTTAGAAGTCCCAGCAGTTGCCTGAAGTAGACCTCAATCCATGTCAGACCACAGTCTTGGAGAAAACTTAAAATATGCCACATGCCTGAAACTGCCTGTTCTACCAGAAGTCTTTGATCAGTACTAGTTTTGAAAGTTTGAGAGCTTTGAAAACAGGTGACCTGGAGTGGTATAGTTTATGTGTTAGGGAAGTTACAGCTAGTAATCCAGGGGCTTCATGGATCCCACTCTCCTCTCAATCCCCAGAGCCTGGAGTTCATAGGCTCGCCCCTTAACTCCAAAACAGAAAAGGAGTTGTCATCTTCAGCTGAGAGTGAGGACACGCCCGACCCTGATGCCCCTTCAGGGCACCATGAGCAGTGGTGCACATGGGCAGAGCCCTCCCCACACTTCGAGGACAGTGTGCTCAGAGTCAGCCCCTGAGAACCGCTGCCTTAGTCTGAGGCCTCAGGGGTGAAGAACAGGGACTAACGTTAGCCAAGACAACTATCTCCACCCAAAAATAGAAAGTGAAGAAGGACTTGTGGGATTTTGTTTTTGCCTTTTTTGATAAAGATTGAATAAAATAAGGGTGAACTAATCAGTTTACAGCCTCACTATTAAATGTCTTTAAATGCACGAGGACACTTTGGACATTCTTTGGAATATAATTCTCTGAAAAATCTATTTATCATAGACAAAATAGTTCATGGCCAGGTTGTCAGAATACTTTTGGATGGTCCTCAAATAAACCTTGCTTATATAACTGTGGTTAAATGCACCATCCCATTTCCTTGTGTGTCCAATGACGTAATCTCACCTTCGCTCACTAGTGAATTCCTCTGTGACCGCGCTCGATTAATCCTTTGACGTGTTATTGAGAGAGGGTTTTATGAGTGCAGCGAGTTGACTGACAACGTCGAGCGGTTCAGTGAATTCTCTGGCAAGGAGTGCCTTTTTAGGAGGGGTGGTTATTTAGAAACCTTAGGCTGCTTTCACTCCCCACCCTACAGACTCGTTCCTTTTAGGCCCTAGCCCACCCGCATTCATTGCAGTATGGGAATCGTTGTTTCTGAAAACAGCCGTGCAACCTCTCCATGGGATTGTGGGGGTAGGCAGCTCACAAACACGCTTTGAACTGTGAAACTATGGTCTGTTAATGTCATTCGGTATTAATCATTCTCTATTCTGTTAAACATTGCTGACTATTGCATTAGGAGCAGAAACAAGCAGTAAACTTGTTTGTCCCTGTCCCTGTTTCTCCTTTAGGTCAATAGTGGGGCGCAGATTCTTTTTTATCATTGGGACTTTATACCTGTATCGCTGTATCACCATGTATGTCACCACTCTACCTGTGCCCGGAATGCATTTCCAGTGTGCTCCAAAGGTAAGCACCTCTGATCACTGATTAGAGGAAACCAAGCCAATGGTGACTGGACACCTGCTCTCTAGTATACGCTCTAGTTGTTGTTGGTGCCATCGAGTGGACTCTCACCGCCCTGTGCACAGTGCAGGGAACCCTGCCTGATCTTTCCGTGCCATCCTCTCACGTTCCGGCGCTGTATCAGACAATGCTCTGCTGCTATTCATATGGTTTTCAGGGCCAGGTTTTGTGGAAGTGGTCCAGGTCCTTCTTCCTAGTTTGTCTAGTCTGGAAGCTCCCACTGAAACCTGTCCACCACAGGTGACCTTGGTGGTATCTGAAATCCTGGTGGCGCAGCTGTCAGCATCACAGCAACAGGCAGCCCCCACAGTGTGACAACCACAGATGGGTGGTGTGGTTCCCTGATCTGGAAATGAACCCCAGAGTGCCCACTCTTAACCACTAGACCGCCAGGGCTGGCTATATATTCTTCTAGACATTTGCATATGTGTTAACTGTAATCTAGCATATTGTGTTTTTCTTTAGATTTTTTGGCAAGAAATTAAAACATATTCATAAAATATATGTCTTTGTCCATAAAAAAATTCATTTTCTACTGTGAGTTACGATGGGGTGTTTGAGTCTTTGCTTTTTTGCCCTCTCACTTACTCATTCATGCATTCATTCTACAGGTATTAAGCTCCTGTTATGTACCAGGCACTGTAGGAATAGCAGTGACTAAAACAAAGTCCTCCTCCTAGAGCTTATGGTCTATTGAGGGATGACAGCTGATAAATAAATTCATAGCTTGTCACGTGGCGTAAGTCAGGCAGCTATCAGATGAAGAACAGGAAAGCTGAGTGAGGGGAAAGGGACTCTGAGGGCAGGTGCTCTCTTACGGCGAGGTCAGAAAGTCTTCTTTAATAAGAAAGCATCTGGGCAGGAACCAAGATGAGGGCTGAGCTATGTGGACGGGGTGAGAGCTCCAGGGTAAGAAAGCAGCTTCGTCACAGTGGGTTCAAGGAAGAGCAGGAGGCCAGTGTGGCCGAGAAGAGTTGTGAAGGTTCAAGGAGGTGCAGCCACAGATCCCATAGGGCCCTGTGGCCCACTGTAGTAACTTGAACCTTGGTGGTGGCAGTGGAAGTGAGATGTTGTTCAACTCAGGATGCATTTTGAAAGTAGGGCCAATAAGACGTGCTAATAAATTGGACTTGGGTTTAAGAGAAAGAAGTCAAGGATGACCCCGAAGTTTTTAGCAATTGAAAAGACAGAGTGGCCTTTTGCTGTGAGAATAGATACTGAAACTGTCATAAGCAGGATTATAGTTTCTCCAGGTAGAGTCATTTCTCGAGAGAGCTGTTAATCATCTTAGACCTCAGTGTGCCCTGGTATATAGAAAAGGAAACTAACAAATCATGTGCTTTCTGGACAAGGGAATGAAGTCTAACATTTTACTGAACACTAGACAGATGTCGAAGGTGGAAGGAGAAATAGAGTCACTTTGAAGAAGTTGACAGTCTCTCACCAAATATAGGTGTGGTTTGGAGAAGCTGTAATTTCCCAAAGCCATCAAAGCAGAAGGTATCTGTAATTAAAACAGTGTACATATCAAATTTGAACATTGGCTTATTTTTAGTGAAACCCATTTAAGGCATGGGAGACGTTCAGAAGCATAATAAACACTTCTAAGGGGTTATTGCAATGAGTTGAATGAAGAAATGGCCACAGAAAAGAAGGCAAGCCCATCCTAGTAATGGATGAGGTTTTTAGGGATGGATTGCTATGATTACAGAAAGAAAGTAAATTAAAGATCATCCTCTGTGGAAGAGTTGCAATTTTCAGAAGCCACATGAGTAAACGTAGCCCGGGATAACCAAGCTACAAATACTCACAGCGGAAGCTCTGGTAGCATCCTTACCAATCAGTGCCCGTGTTCAGTTGTCAAGATTCTTCCTGAAGCAGAAGTAGGCTGTAGGTGCTGCACCGTGGTTCAGTAAAACAAACACAGATCACTCTGTGTGACTAGAGGTGACGAGGTGTTACAGCAGTCAGAACTGCGCTCTCAGTGCGGTTCAGCTGCGGGCTTTGAGTGCTCCTTCGATTGCTGTGGTTATAGGCTGTTAGACAATTCACTCGTCGCCTTTGTTGCTGACTCTTAGAAGGCCCTTCGTGACTATGAGCAATGACGGCGTGTGTATACCGCAACCACTCGCTGTGGGAGGGCGTTGGATCTGGTCAAGGATGCCTAATTCAACTTGCCCTCCCTGGATGTGGTCGCCGCAAGAGCCATCGCAGGGACAGGTCCCTGGTGAAATCCTTGCTTTCAGTTTTTCAACTGCCTCCTCCCGTATCTGTCCCGTGGTTCACTTTAGGTCCTCTGCTTATGGTTTGCTTGAAGCCCCCAGCCCCAGCTTTGGCTCGCAGTCACAAAATTTGTGTTCTGAAAAGCGTGTTTAAATTTTGGCGCAGTTGTTAAGACTCCCATGAAATGGCTTCTCAAACCCATTTCGCCACATTTGGGAATGTTGGGCGGGCATTGCTGCGTCCCTTCCCTGAAAGAGCTTGCCTCTCACCCTGGCCACCGATGTCCCAAGGCCTTCTCTTCTTGTTCAAAGGCCCAGTGTGGATGGTGTGGCTTCTGGTTTGACAGCAGCCAAGTTGGGCTCTCTTGTACCTGATTTCCTCTCCTGGGAACTGGGGTGTGGAGGCCGCAGTTTGAGGAACCCTGAGAGCACCACGCCCTGTCTGCTTTGGCTCCTGTGACTGATGTTTCTCCTCCTGCTCTTCTGCGTCTGCAATTCTGTGTCCAGTAATGGCATGGAATGGTGTCTGAAGAGGGAGGGAGTTAATAGGATGAGAGTGACAGGAGTGTGTGTAGGGTCCCAGTGAACTAGAACAGAAGCAGGAAACAATCTGTTAATCCTGACTCTCACTGTTATCCCTCTTCCTCAGCTTTCTTTCTACCCTCCTCTTTGCCTCCTCCCTTGAGGTTGTGCTGAGCATGTGCTGAGCGTGAGCTGACGTCTCAGGACAGCGGGGGCAGATGGAGGAATGGAGCGAGTCCTGGAGGTGGCATCAGCGGCTGTCAGAGGTCTCCACTCAGCAGCCCTGCTGACAGAGGGGAGGAGAGAGTGTGTGGCTCAGCGTAGCTCCCCGTTTATACCTTTGCTCCATGTCACCCCGAGTAAAGGGACTGACGGCTTTAAGTGTTTCTGCCCTTAGAAAATGACAGTATTGAGTCAGGATGGGTGAGTGAATAAAACATTACGGTGGTTTGGAATGAAGAATAATGTGTCCTTTGAACCCGGAACACGGTGGCTGGGCAGAGTGTGTACCTTTCTGTCTGATCTCAGTGTGGACGGTTGTTTGTACCAACCGCGTGACAAGAAATTCCTGGAGGGCTGTGGTTGGTCTGGTGAAGCACAGGCTGGAGTCTTGTCCTCCATGTCCAGGGCACATCGCACTAGTGTGTGGAGTCTGCAGCCCATCCTTCCTGGGGTTCCCTGGGGTGACCTGTAGCTGTCAGCAGTCCTCTCCCTCGGTGTGGATCCTGGACTGCCCTCTACCTTCTGTCTCTTCAGGACAGGATCACCTGTTACTCGGCATGTTTGGCTTAAGGACTGTCAACTCCTGATAGAATACATATGTTCTCTTGGTTTCTGTCACCTGGGCCTGCCCTAAGCAAACTTTTGAAGAAGGTCAAGTTTCTTCAGAACCTCCATTTTCTCACCCTACCCTCTAATCCTGCTTTCCATCATTTTCTGTTGCAGAGCCTTATTCTTAAAAGCCTATTCACTTGAAACTACACTGATCTGAAGCCCTCCGTCTGGCCCCTAACATTTCAGTATTGCAATTTGCCATGCCAACCATTTTGACCAACTCAGCCCACTAGTCCTTCCTGTTTGCTTAAATTTTAATGAGATATAAACTTTTGATTATTGCCTCAAACTCCTGCTCTGGCCCATCATTGTTTCCTATGTCATCGTGATGGCTTCTAGGGCCTTCCACACCCTCACCAAGGGAGCTCTCTCCTGACCCCTTGCCCCAGCACACAGGTTATTTCTCTGGGGGTTGTTTTTCCTGATCGAAGCTAGTCATTTTTAAGGCTCCCAGCACATCCCTAATCCATCATTTTCAAACCTATTTAAATTATGTAATGTGTTGCAGCTCCCTTTTTGACTGTTAAGTGTTTTGATCAGATATTAATACAGCTATAGGCTGCCCACTTAACGCAAGGTATGCATACACTGGAATCTTAGTAATGTGGTATGCAGCTGAATCAAATATTACCATGGAAACCCTGACTTCCCCCTGCAAAGAGGAAAGAAAGTAGCTTTGATCGTTTTAGTGCTTAGCTGTGGTGAAGTCATTGGTTATTAATATTTTTAAAAGCTTTGCCCAAGGACACAACACCACCAAAACATATTATTAGTAACATACTGAATAATTTAAAACGTGTCACTAAAACTTGCCAATATGATGAATAAAACCCAGTTTGAGGAGCTTCTCCATTGGATTCTTTTTGATTTTTTAAGTGAAAAAGAAAAAAAATCTCAAGTTTTTTCTTAGGAAAAAAATCTAAGTATCACGAAAATTAGGCTGAAACATGATTTTTATCAGCTTGTAAGTTTTCTTCCCGATCTTCTCGTGTCATTCAGCTCAACGGCGACTCCCAGGCGAAAGTGCAGCGGATCCTACGGTTGATTTCCGGTGGCGGACTGTCCATAACGGGATCGCATATCTTGTGTGGGGACTTCCTCTTCAGTGGTCACACAGTTGTGCTGACACTTACGTATTTGTTCATCAAAGAATGTAAGTAATACCTCATTCCCACTTTATTGGTTGCTGTAGTGGGAGGGATCCTGAGGCCCCAAAGCTGATGGGAGCCCTTATTCTGTTGGAATTGATGGCAGTGAAAGAGACAGATATACGTGTGTGGGGGTTAAATCATTTCAGCTAGTATGTGATTGGAGCCCTGAAGGCTTAAAGCCGGCCCTGGCTTCTCTCTAACATTTAGCATGCCTCCGAAATGTCTCCCTCCTTCGTTAGTACTTCTCAAGGTAGGAAAAGCTGTTTTAACGTTAGAACCAAGAACAACAATTGTTAAGTTTATTGCAAAAAGAATCGGTGTGCTCTAAAGCCAAATGTAAATGACCTTTGAATGAACTTGCATTCCATCATTCCAAATAATTAATGTTTTCCCCCTTTTAAAACGTTTCCTTGTCCCACTTTATTCCAATTTCATCATTTTCCAGCCGCCTCCTGTGCTTTCATAGGCATCTTCATGGAAGGAACACTGCCAGTGCTGGTCATCTTCTTCTTAGAAGCAACAAGGAGGCAAGGCTGTGCATAGACATCTTTCCGTACTTACACACTTAATCCCATGCTACGAAATCCCTGTGCATCCCAGCAGCTCCCATGGCTGCAACAATGTCTTGTTCGTTGTGCGGCCGTGTTTGGTGTTAGCTGCCTGGCAGATCCCTTCCTGTAGATTTCTGAGGTTTGTACATTTAGGTCCATTATCTCAAAATCCTTTTGAAGTGGTGATGCTTCTGCCTTCATTTTGCACAGCCGGCCTGAGTTAACCTTCATCCTTAGTTCCAGCACACCCCATGCCCATGTTTTCAGAGGTTGGTCTCAATTCTCTTCACTCACCTGGCGTGTTGTAAAGGAGCTCTTTCTGCTGAGACCAGCAGAAGGTGGTCCCTCCTCTGTCCTGCTGCCTCTTCCGTCCTCTCCTGGCCTGTCATCAGTCCAAACGGGTTTAGCCCATCAAGGTTTACCTTCCCGTGGGGCAGAAGAGAATTCTTGCCCCATAGGTGTCCTGGGGTTTTAGGTTTAAGTTCTGCTTTGAGGGTAATATGACAGAGAGTTTGGATTCTCTCTAGTAGAAGAAGTCAAGTCTTTTTGTTTTGTAAGAATTGTATAGCTTTCAAGTTGTTTCCTTTTAAATACGAACTTGGAGTAGGGAGCAGCGTGTCGTGTGTGGCCTTGGCCATATGTGACTTTAGGGCGGAGAGCGGCCTTCTGCACCTCTCCTCTTATTTCTACTCTCATGCTATTTGGGAGGTGGTGCTGGGGAGGAACCTAGGGCTGTCTGTGCCCCAGTGTCAGGGGATAGTCTCTTCTTTACATGTCAGTCACTCCATTTCTAATACATAGTCACTGGTTGTGGGGAGTGGGTGGAGGATTTGCACCGTGTGTGGTTCTGACTCTAACTTTTGCCAAGGAAAGTTCCATGTGTGTGTAACAGCAAACATTTCCCAGTCCAGAGGTGCATTTGAGTTGTAGGATCTTCTCTAACCTGAGGATCCTAAGAAGCTTAGAGCAGAAGATGAGGATGAGGGCGGGGAGGAGTTACATGTTAGAGTGAAGCCACTATGGGTTGAAAACCTTAAAGTAAGGAAGAGAAGACACCCAGGAAACTGAGAGTCAGTTTTATAAAATAACTGAAGACCAAGTGATGTTAACAATGCTAACGACTAGACACAGCACTGACTCTGTGCCAGGCACTATTCTAAGCCCTTGATGCAAATGGGCTCATTTGATCCTGTGGCCACCCAGGGGGGAGACTCTCCCCATTTTTCAGAGAGGAGACTTAAGCATAGAGACAGTGAGTGACCTGGCCACAGCCATGGCCACAGCGGGTAATTGGAGGGTGGGGCACTCAGACTCAAGCAGGCCGACTCCAGAGGCTACCCTGTTACTTTCTTGGCTGTTGAGGATTTTTGGAAACCCAAGTGGTCTGATCAGAACAGCTAATGCATGATCAGGGTATACTACTCGTTATGGTTCTTTCTTTTACCTCATAGCAGGGCCACTTGTGACTATTTTTGTCCTTTAATGAAGGCGATGCACTTTGTAGACACATTTTCTTTCCAAGATGTGATTTTTGGCTTGAGGATTTTAAAATTGTGTAAGTTTACATGCAGCAAGGAAAAAATCGCATTCCGCTTTTTCCAGTCTTCAGTGAGAAATAAAATGGCGAATCTGTAGCACGTAATACAGATGCGACTGCAGAGCCAGTTCTGAGCATAAACAGGGTGTCCGTGGTGATGCCCGTTTCCTACGCAATTAGGAAAAACAATCACCTTCTAAATTGTACCATGTTACTGTTCTTAGTAAGCAGTGGTTCCAGTGGTTTCTTTGAACATTCAGCTTCTAGAATTAGATGCATCACTTATGTATTGTTTGCTTTCCTGCCTTTTGGTTGGTTTGGACTCTTTCCTTGTTTGCTCCACTGTCATGAGTAGATTTGAATTTAGTCATGAGAACGTGGGACCAGGATCATTTTGTGGGTTCACAAAGCCCCACAAAGAGAGGGCTTTACACAGTTGTGCACATGTTACCACTGGGGCCTCAGTTCCTTATAAAATTATCCTGGAGAGATCAGCCTACCAGTTAGTACCAAATGTCTTGCTAGAGAACTTTTTTTTTTCCCCACTTTGCTACCACACAAAATCCGTTGTCTGTTATTCAGTGACAACTAGGGCAGGATCCCCCACAGACAGTGAGTTATTAGTGTTATGTCATCATCTTTTAGCTCGATGTTATCTCTGTGGGTAAAATGAGAGAGCAGAGGATTACCATTTTGCTGTTTCTATCCCCGAATATTTTATATTAAATCTTTTCTTTGGGTCAGCCGATGTTCTCAGTTAATGAGCAGTGATCCCAGTGTGGCAGCACAATGGGGATACATTTTTATGGGAGAGCTGTGCTAGTGTTTCCAGCCATCCTTAACCTCCTTTTCAATTCCATGGGTAGTAAAATGACCATAAGGCCACCTCCTTACTCCTTACTGGCTTTGACTTGGCCTCTTGTGGATAAATAAATAAAAATAGTTTTGGTTCGCCCAAACATTTTGAACTTTTAAGGAAATACCAGATGACCTATAAGCAAAGGAAGCAGAGTTGGTGTGAGACTTTAGGGAGGGGTGAGGTCTGTGGTGCTGGAGAATGCATAGTTAGTGAAATCTCCAGGTTTCTAAATGCTAGTTCAATTCTTAACATTCTGAGCCTAACAGAACAGTTATGGGACTGGATCTAGCCCCTCAGGCTACAACAGTAGGGCCACTCCCAGCTTTAAAATTCTAGGATTCTATGAGTTATCTGAGAATGAGAACTTAGTGGCAGGATGAACCAAATGAGAAATAATGAGCTGCACATTTAAAATTAGAAAATTGGCCTTTCGAATACAAGTACAGGTTTATTATCTTACTGTTCCACTTGAGACCAAAAGAGCAACAGCTATTTTTCAAAAAAATATTTTTTATTTGAATGATACCTGATTTGGTATTTCAAGTCAAGGTCTGGAATGGATCCTTTTGCTATTCAACGATTCTTCCACACTTGAAAGTAAATATCACTGTAAATGTAGACACACTTAAATATGAAATTTTAGTTTATTAGATTAACTTTTATTGTGAGCCAATAAGCTTTAAAATAGGAAAAAAAAAAACAAAAACGTTATTCAAGGAAAAGAAAAGTTAACTAGAGATGGACTCTGGTCCTGTTTATACCCGTGGCACTAACTGGTGTGGGGAGGTGTGGGTGTAGGATCACGTTTAACCTGGGAGCGCTCCAGTTCTCTCTTAGGGCTGATCAGTGTGTGAGCCTCACTAGGAAGGCTGGAATCCATAGTGAATGGGCAAGAATTCTAAGCCTTTCACTGGAGTGTTTTATAGTTGCTGTTGGCATTAACAGTATAAAATTGCTGAGAATCAAAATATTGCCAGCCACAATGCCATTTTTCTCCCCCTGGAGAAATCAAAGTTTATATAAGACCTGAAATTGCTCCTGCTTTCTCATTTCCCTGATTTTCATGGAAAACTACTTTTTCTCTTGACCCCTGCTGTTTTTCTTTCCTGTAGGGTCCCTTATGTGAGCCAGTCTGAGCCGATTCCAACCAACCTAATAAGAAACAGTTCTTTTCTCTTCCTTGTTGAACAGCCTAGCAGTGGGCAAGGCAGGAGTATCTAGTGTCACCAGCCTCCCCAGGGAATGGCTGTCACCTGCTGCTGGTGGTCCCCCTTCTCCCTTCCTCCCTGAGCAAATCCTGGGCCATTTAGAGTGACTCGTTTGGGTTATCAGTTGTCTCCTTCCGGTGACTTCCTGGGCCCAGATTACTCCACTTTAGGTCGTTAGGATAGACTGTAATCATTAAATTCATCTCTGGGAATCTTATTAATTCTATAATTTTTCTGCCGTCCAGATTCGCCTCGTCACTTCTGGTGGTACCATTTAATCTGCTGGCTGCTGAGTGCCGCCGGGATCATCTGCATTCTTGTAGCACACGAACACTATACTGTCGATGTGATCGTTGCTTACTATATCACAACACGGCTGTTCTGGTGGTACCATTCAATGGCCAATGAAAAGGTGAGAGCCGTGAAATTATCCTTGGATAATTTCTTTAAATGCAGTGGACCCCTTTTCACACAGCAGGGTTTTAGAGAGATTAATGGGAGTAACTGCCGTTGCCACCCAATTGTATGGTTTAGGTGAATTCACTTCAACTTTTGTCCATTACTGCTTCTTAAAATAAAGAACATCACAAATATAAATGAATTTAAGGATAAAAATGCTGTATAGAGAGCACGGTGTTGAAGTAATTCAGTTATTTATGCGAGAGTTGAAGGAGCATATATGGGAAATTAAAATTTAGGAACCCTCTCTGTAGAAGCATTGTGCTGCAGGCACAGAAGACACTCCCTTCCCTCGAAGAACTTCATTTTGAGGAAAAGATGAAAACTCGTTTAACAAGTCAAGCAAAATCAGTAACTTCTATCTGGGGCATCTTTTGGTGATACTGTGCTCTCTGGCTTCCCTTATCCATCCTTCCTTGTTTCTGCTGCCTCCTGGTCCGGGATGACCTTTGTTTCTTCTCCCGTTCGTTCTGAAAGAGCTAGCTCCAGTGCCACCTCTTCTGGGGAGCCTTCCCTAACTGCTGCTCTCTTCCTCTCGTCCCAAGATGGAATGATTCCTCCCCTTCTCTGTGTTTTCCTGGCCTTGGTGTGTGCCCTTGGTGTAATAGAATGAGTCTGTGTACCGTGACTTACTTATCTTTGGATAGTCTTGCCATATTGTCTGATGCATATAATGTTTGGAGAATTTGTGAGTGATTGAAATACGGCATTCCCAAAGGCTCTAAATCCAACTTGCATGTAGTGGTGTCCGCTAATAAATGCCTGTTTGGAGATTTCTTTGTCTTTGTAGCTCTGTTTCCTGTTTCCACAACACACTTGTGTTTCCCTCTTCCTTCTTACACTTCCATCTAGACGTCTACTGATGCCACTGAACCCAAAGTTGCCTCTTTCCTCTGAAATATGCAACATTGTGAGCCCTCCTTTCCCTCTGCCATCTTCCTTGGCCATGGATCTGACCACTCACACATCCTGAGAATCGCTCCTTCTGGATAACTCACATCCATTCCTGAGTCTCCACTCTTCCCAGAAGTGCAGGCAGAAGAAATAGCTTGAGCTACCAAGAGGGAAGAGGAGGGAAGGGCATTTGGGACGGAGTCGTGTCCGAGTTAGGGAAGAGGTGCAAAGAACTACTGCCTTGTGGCCCGGATTCCACTTTCTGTTACGTTACGAATGACAGTTTAATTAAGAAAAAAATTAGGATGCAAATCATGAAAGATATATCTCATCTTACTCTCTTCCCACCTTTTACAGAACTTGAAGGTCTCTTCGCAGACTAACTTCTTGTCTCGAGCGTGGTGGTTCCCCATCTTCTATTTTTTTGAGAAAAATGTACAAGGCTCAATTCCTTGCTGCTTTTCCTGGCCGCTCTCCTGGCCTCCTGGCTGCTTTAAATCTTCGTGCAAAAAGTACTCACGGGTCCAGAAGATCGGTGAAGATAATGAGAAATCTACCTGAAGAGCAAAACAGAGGCACCAGCTCTGATACCAAAAGCGTTTACGCTGTAACCAAAGGTATAGTTTTGTCTTTTTATTTTAGGAGAACTTGACTGGTAAATGAAGCAGTGGACCAAATTTGGTGCAAACGATTAGCAAGATGAACGAAGTATTACCCTTTGACTGGTTTTTGTTCATCCTGAGAAAGATGCATTTTCCTGCAGCTCTTCCTCCGTTGGTGATGAGGCCACCCTGGGATTTGACTCATGAGCTTGTTCAAGACGTGCCAAAAGACATGCTGCTCCTCGCCCCGCTCTTTCCCCACCCGAGCCCGCGACAGAATTTTTTCAGGATTTTTTTTCCTCCAAGGTCAGAAGAATTTGTTAACGTTTTAAATAAAATATCTGGATATATACGGCTACTGTGTAAACAGAATAACCTACGTCGAGAATGGTTTATAGCATCTAGCTCATGAGTGAGGGGAGATCCTGGGGTGTGAGTAAAGGTCGGGAGAACCTGGTGTCGGCCTTCTCATGGGGAAGGTCAGGCTCAGATCTGGGCATGCTCGCTGCTGCTACCACCCCATGCACTATGTGTCACTTCTACTTTTCCTTTAACTGATACTTCCATATTTACTTTTATTTTAAAAAATGAACTATTTGCCACACCCCACAGATTTTACATTTGTGTAAATATTTCACTGTAAACTCTGACAGATACACAGGAAACATAGGGCTGTTTCTGTTACTGAGGGGCCCTTGTGTATGCACCTGTGTGCTGGCTGCCTGGTACCCTTGCATCTGGTACCCCCAGGCAGGCCACTGCTCGAGCGCAGCTGAGAACACCTATGTGCGGGAACCGATGCCCCAGCCGCCTGGGGAACAAGCCCACTTTCTCTCCCAGGTCGTGCCCTGTGTGAGATCTGTTTTAGAGCTGCTAATTGGAACTCAAATACAATTGGTCACATTTCACTGAAAACAGTTTCTTCCCAGTTACGTTGTACTTTGTGAAAAAACTGAGATGGAGCCCAAAAGTTGAATGCATCCTTGCCTTTTAGCGAGAGACTCAGCTTCTTATAAACGGGTCCTAAGGGTATAACGCCACAACCGAGCAGTTTTCCTCTGACCCTGAAATTACCCCACGGTGCTGCACTATAATCTCCTGTGGCTCAGTATGTTAGCTACCGCTACTCAGTAAAGGGGAATAAGGGGGATAATTGTTTCTTAAGTTCTTTGAGGTGATGCAAAAAGGTGGATTTTTAAAAATCTGATCAGATTTAATGCCATCAGATTTAGTGCATTATTTAATGCTGTTGAATCTTTTGGATAATTCTTGGCTTAATTTCTTAAGACTTCTAGTAACCTTAGAAAAAGATTTAAGGTTACAAAATCATTAACACTAGGTCAGAGGGCGGAGAGGCCAATGGGGTGGAGGAAGGAGGCAGTTACATTTATATTGAAGGTGAAGATTTCCCTCCACTTAGAATGAAAAACATCCCGAAATTTGTCATGATAAACTGGTCAGCCTTGATTCGGTACACAAAATTAACCTTTGCATTGTTGGAGAGAAGCAAATACAAATCTATTCAGAAGGGTCATTATCCTTTGGTGCTAAAATTCTGGGTATGTTTTCCATATGGCTCTTTCTCTGTGTAACAGAAGAATCACTAAGGGAAAGGTAGTTGAATTCAAAGGTAGGAAGAAAAACTCTCTGATCTGGTTACTTAAAACAAGAATTGAAACCCTAAACATCCTTGGCATGCTCTGAAATGCAAATTTTTCCCGTATTTATTATTAAACCAATAAAAAACATCTATAGCTTACCTGATGTGTTTAACCATCATTCTACATGCTTTTCCCTTATTAAATATTGACACTTGGGGTAGAACCAGGTGTTGTGCTGAGAACACGAAGTTTAAACTCGGCTGTGTTCCCGGAGCCTCTGAATCAGATAAAACAACCTGACAGCTGCAGAGCCTTAGTCAGCTGCATCCCGGATAACCCACTTTTCTTCAAATTAAATAAGGAAAAGGGTTTAAGCTTTAAAAATCATGGTGAATTGATTGTTGGAGACCCTTTGAAACCGCAAACCTTGCATTTTAGTCAAGTAATCCAGTTCTTTTAAAAAAAAGAATACCATCACCTTTTAAAAAACTTTAAAAGCATCTCTGACCCTTTGAGTGACGCTGCTGCCCCATGTTCTTTACACATATGTATCATCGCTTTCTAATAGCTGCTGTGGAAGCGTGTGGTTTGAAGAGAAGGGGGGAAATCTCAAAGTTGCAGAATGCAGAAATAAGAGAACTAGTGAAACTCATTTACATTTGGGAAAGCAAACTTGAGGTTTAACCCGACGTGCCACCTTCGGATATGAGACATAAACGTGACCTTGCCTTTGAAACGGTCAACTTTTGCAGCCCCCATTCCTTGCTAATTAAGATACCAGATCTCATGTGTTATCCTTGTTTTTGTAAACCAGTGCTCCTGTTTGAAGCTCTTCCTGTAATTTAGTCCTTCTGTGCAATATCTGTAACCTATAATTCCTATAAATTATGCTGCATTTTTCTCTAAATTCTTTCAAATGGAAATGAATTCCTCTCAGATTGGATTTTTTGAGCTCCTCCACTAGCTCTGAAGATAAATCATTCTTCCCCAGTTCCACCCAAAGTAATTGTGAATTTGTTATTTAATTGACTGGCATCTTGGGAAACAAGATTTGCAGTGGAGGAAAGGCTGTTTGGAGGGACCGAGTCTCTCGTCTGGTCCGTGGGTGACATGCATGAGGGTCTGTGCTGTGTTCCAGCGCCCCCTCGTGGAAATGCGTTGTGTGACTTGGAACGCAAGCTTGCCACTTTTCAAGTTTTTAAAAGGCATTTGTTTTTCATTATTTTTGCCAATAATCTGAAAGCATCATGTGAAAGGAATTGTTTTAAAGGCATTTTACACCTTTCCCAAAGGGAAAGTGTGCTTAGATCACAAGGAGGTGCAATTCTAGTCTTTTATCCATTTGATCAAGAAAATCTGCAGGCCATTTTACCTCTCAGTCACAATCAGCAGCGTCTCCCTTCATAACCCTACACTTGTTTACTTTGAAACACCAAGTCGGCTGTCTTATGTTTTTTGTTTTTTTTTACGTGCTAGAACTCATGCAGTTTCTTTTTTAGTTGAAAGTTCACATCTTGTTTCTTGAATATTTTGAACATTTCTTTTTAAATTCTTTTTTGTGGTTTTGTTTTGCACTGTAAAACCGATTAAAAATTTAAGCCGGTCTTAACACACTCACTTCTGTAGTGTAAGGAAGTGTGAGAAGGAATTTGTTAATAAATGAGTTTACATATTTAAATCAAGGATATTATAAGTAATATGCCATGTGTTGAAGGCTTTTCTATTTGTATGTATAAAGATTTCTGGTATTTTTTTTAATGTCATTGTGTTGCAATAATTTAACTCCTTTGACTAACTTGCTAAAAATACTTCTATTAAGAAGTGCTCTTGACTTCAATACCTAAAACACTGAAAATCATGTCAAAGGTACCCAAAGATAAGTTTTTATACAGATATACACCTTATAAGTTCTGATTTATTTTATTACTCATTAACCTAACTATGCTGTGTTCTAAATGAATCATGAAGGAGAATAGTTCTTTATTGTGGAATTATTTAAAACTGTCCTTTAAAAGAAAAGGCAGAAACTATAAACATAAGCTAATCTAGTTGCCAAGTTGGAATTCGTTATTTAATTTACCTCCTATGCAATGATTAATGCTGCAAACTGTATGGTTATGTTACAGTATAGTCACAAAAGAAATATTATTACAAGGTTTGAGAGGTAGCCAATTGCATTCTTTTGGAAATTTACTGTACTGTTTCAGTGTGTTAAGTGCCTTGTTGTAAAGTAACATTTTAAGTCTAGAATTCATTATTTTCTTGACATATTTTTCATTATGATATATACTGTATGCTATTGTAATAGTTTTATTAAATGCTTACATTTTAATCAAATATGTACATTTCAGAAGCTCTTTTCTCCTGCCCACCAATCTCTTAATCATTGGTCTGTCGTATGGGATTTGAATTCAGGTTCTTTTTCTTAAAAGAGGAAATTCTTTGTTTAGAAATACGTTTTCCCTGCTTGTGCTTTTGTGTTTGTAAAAACATTTCAGGAGGAATTTAGGAGTGTAAGCATAGTTTATACTTCTAAAATGCTGTTTTACATTTGCATTTTAAGTGCCTAATAGTTAAAACTAATTTATGTTTCTATTCTAAAGAGGATACATGTACTTGGTTTCTAATCTCTTTGGCTTTGCTTAAAAATAAAAAAAGCAAGAGCCTATACTTTGTATTTACCCAATAAACCACAGTGACATCAGCAGTCTTTTCAAACTTAGTATTACTGTTTCTTTCAATTTAAAAAATGTGTTGTTTCTTTTAAATATTTTCAAATTTTATTTAGTTTTAAGTACTTATTAAAACCACAAGAGGGTTGTTTCCTCAAGCACTGTTTTTAAAATAGGGTGATAACCTTCGATTAATGTACATAAACTGAATTGTGTCATTTTTCCTGCCCTTGGATTTAAGGTGACGAATAATTCACAACAATATAAAGTCATTCATAGAGAAGAAAAAATCAGTTACCTGCTCGATGATTCTGATTCTCCATGTTCACAATAGGATAAAATCATTAATTCTTCAAGAAAAACAAAGTCCTCTCTATCACTCAGTTCTGAAGGAACTGTCATCCTCCTGCCCTCACCCAGGGGGCAGTAGAGGAGTGTCCTCAACTAGACATCAACAGTCCTTGCAACAGTGGGTGGCAGTAAGTGTTCCTGGACCCCTGATGAAAGATGAAGGCATGACCCCCAAGACAAATTTAGTAGACACAATTCACTAGGGGAGGGGAGTTGATGAGATAATATAGCTCATACTCTGTTGTTGGATGTAGTCCAGGGTTTTTCTTTGGATTATCTGGAAATTATAAAGTATAGATCAGAATAGTCTTTCTGCCACCCCCACCCAGGCCTTGGATGAAAAGCTTGTCACAGTGATGGTCCCATCCTATTTGGCGTGCTGATTTTGCTGGTTGTAACCTCAAAGGCTGCCCTCATCTAGAATGCGTTGTACAGTGAACTAATGCGATGCTTCACAAACCTTGGCATCTAATATTCCATTTTCTTCTAATAAATATATAAGAATATGGGAAGCATGATCCTGAATTGCTAATACAAGTCAGACTAGTATCGGATGATGCACTACTCTGTCTATATAATGCACATTTAATTCACCTGTGGCACCTGTAACGGGTAGCATTTTACAGTTTTTATGCTTGACATCCATTCTTTAATCTTCACAAAACCCTGTGAGGGGACGAGGAAACAGGTGGTGACCTCATTTTGTGAGACAAGAGCTGGCTTGTGAGT